GACATCCCCAGAGTAGCCAAGCCCTTAATTCTAATTATTAGTTACACAATGATTACTTAATAATTCCCAATTGTTACAACTTTTGTGTGGATATTCTAGCAATTTCATGCATGATTTATTGGCATCAAACATTTCTCAATCTTCTAAACACCTTTTTTTTTAAATATAGGTACAAGAAGATGGGACTCTTATTTTTAATGGTTTTTGCAATTCAAGGCATTTTATCTTCCATGAGAATAGTGCCCCAAGCCAGAAACCCTGAAGCATACATGAACATTGTAAGTTGTAATTGTGTTGGTGATTGATGTTGTATAATATAATATAATATAGAACATTAAAAAGGGCAGTAAGGATAAATGGATCCCTAGAATAAATGTTTAAAACAGGGTATTTCAAGTTCCATATTTATTCAGTCCCAGAAAAGCAAAAAACATTTTAAAAATAACCCTGCCTTGGTTTAGTTTACGATGTAATAGAGAGAAACAGATGGTCTTTCAAGATAATGTTCTCATAGCCTATAACAATAAATAATATTCCTGAACTATCCTATTGCTTCTGTTTCTTCCCTTCCTCAAAAGAGCTAAATAAAAGCTGAAAATGACTAGAAAATAGTACAAGTAAATTAAAAGAATTATTTATAAATAAATAAATAAATAAAAGAAAGTCTTTCCAGGAGCTTTAATGATTGATTAATTACGATTAGGGGACTGGAGACTAAAACATATGAAGAATGGTATAGGAACTGGGCATGGCTAGTCTAGTGAAGAGAAGGACCAGGGGAGACATGATAGCAGTCTTCCAGAATATGAGGGGCTGCCATAGAGAGGAAGGGGTCAAGCTATTTTCCAAAGCACCTGAAGGCCAGACAAGAATAATGGATGGAAACTGATCAAGGAGAGATTCAACCTGGAAATAAGGAGAACTTTTCTGACAGCAAGAACAAGCAACCAACGGAATGGTTTGTCTTTGGAAGTTCTGGGAGCTTTATCACTTGAGACTTTCAAGAAGAGATTGGACTGCCATCTGTCAGAAATGGTGTAGGATCTCCTGCTTGGGCGGGGGGTTGGACTAGATGACCTATAAGGTGCCTTCAACTCAATCTATAAAATATCTGTAAATCTGTAAATTCTTTCCATTATGGATCACTAATGCTCTTCTAGGTTAAAAAGAGCTTGGTAGGTTTTATTGATAATGATTACATGTTCTCATTTTTAAAGTAATACATACACATTAATTCTTCCAATCCTTTTCACATTTGATATTCTACATTTTTTAAAAAAACACATAATCCTTTGGCTATTTCCAGACTTCTTTTTGGTTGTGCTACAGATTAATAATGCACCAGTTGATAGGTAACGTAAAAACATGATGCATTTATACTGAAATTTCCTTCACCAGAGTGAAATCATTCACCACAAAGGATACCAAGCTGAAGAATATGAAGTAGCAACTTCTGATGGCTACATTCTCACTCTTAACAGAATTCCACATGGCAGAAAACAACATTGGAGCCAATGTAAGTAAAAATAAATAAGACTATACATTTTTAAAAATTGTGAGAGATATTTATGAAAAGTTTGTTTAGAACATTTTGCAAATAATAATAATAATAATAATAATAATAATAATAATAATTCAGATATGTCTATCTTATCCCATTGGAGTAGCCAACATTATGTGACAGATTGTCTTCCAGTTGACACAACTTTCAAATATACTTTTCAACTGATCACAGAAATCATGGGTTGAAAGCTTCTAGCCATCACCTTTCTAAGAGCAGGAACGGAAGTATAATTCCCAGTTCTTAACTTTTTGAAGATTTTTGAAGATGGAGGAAGGTAGAACTTAGAAGGGTACAGAGGTAGGTACATGAATTTATTCTTAGGCATTTAGGATAGCAATAGCACTTAGACTTATATAGTGCTTTATAGTGCTTTACAGCCCTCTCTAAGTGGTTTACATTATATTGCCCTCAACAACCTGGGTCCACTTTTTACCCACCTGGGAAGAATGGAAGGCTGAGTCAACCTTGAGTCTGGTGGGATTTGAACTGCCAAACTGTAGGCAGCTGGCTGCAGAGGTAGCTTGCAGTACTTCACTCTAACCACTGCGCCACAGAGGCTCCATACTTATTTCTAGGTATTTAGGATGCATATTTTCCCCAACATTAGGCATTAATGATGTGTGTGTGGGGGGGGTGTATATGTATGTATGTATATATGTGTGTGCATGTGGTCATGTCACTTTTTTCAGTGCCATTGTAAATTTTAATGGTCACTAAATGACCATTTTAAAAACTAAAATTCAATTGAAACTACATATGGACACCCTTATTCATTTTTATGGATCTCACTGACATCTAGAAAGCCTTTTTAAAGTGATCAGTTCAATTGGGGGAAGACAAGCAACAGAGAAGAAGGCAAAAAAGCAAAGTAATGGGAGAAAGAGGCAAAAGAAACTACCTCTGTCTACTTTGGATTCTAGCTCCATCATAAATTGCCTTTAATATCCTTTATCATGTGACTCCCAACAGATTAGATTTTGGAAATATGATCCTCAATGGAAAAATAAATTCCATGTCATGATGGAGAAGTGTTATTTTTTATTATTAGATAAAAGAATGATAAATAATGGATTTAGCAGAGTGAATTGATAATATGATGACCAATTGATGAACTCTTCCCAGACCCCTCAATGATAAGCAGCATTCCTTTTATAGATACTTGCTACCATTGACCAGGGAAGACTTAAAATCACATAAAGAATTTGTACTTTTAGGAAATTATGAATACGAATATTTTGAATATGAATGAATATTTTGCTCTGGTTTTGAGTAGCAGCCTAGATTCTAATATTAATTTGGGGACAGGGATGAGGAACTAAGGACCTACGTTAGTACTGAATCTTGAGTTGCTCCATGTGCACAAGATAAACAAACTTGGGTAGCCCACAAAATTTCAGGAACGGATGTGAACAATAATGATCTTTGTGATGTCCTTTTACAGCAGGAAAACCAGCTGTACTTTTGCAGCATGGCTTATGTATAGAAGGAAGGATATGGGTTGCAAACATGCCCAATCAAAGTCTTGGATTCATGCTAGCAGATGCAGGTTATGATGTCTGGATAGGGAACAACAGAGGCACCTCCTGGTCTCGAAAACATCAACACCTTACAATCAAGCAAGACCAGTATCATGCTTACAGGTGATTTAAAACAGAATGGATAGACAGCCTCACGATCTGTGGTGTTTTGTTTTTGTTTGCTTTTAATTGCATTTCTTGGACTTAATGTGGAGCAGCTTTTTACCAGATTGCACAACCGTATTCACAAATCCATACGATTTAGCTGCATTTCCTATTTCTTTGTTCAAAATACATGTTATTAAATTTTAAGCCTGTGTTACAAAGGAGAAATGTTTGGCTTTTTACTGTAAAATACAGTAAAGATTTAAACATTCAACAGCAAGAATGGAAGAGAATTTTTTTTGAAAACAGAGTAGTGTGAAAGTTTGTCCTTAATTCTTTGGTATTAATCAACTGATTATGTTCTCCTTCGTCATGTCAATAACATTATAAAACTGGTGGTTAGTAATAACAAGTAACAATGAAATAGGCTGTTCATATTCTTATTTGTAAAGAAAAATCCATCCATTGATTCATCCATTGACAAATATTATGATATGGAGTTTCAATCCTTCAACTTATTTTTAAGAGTTATATTAGGGGTGTATAACATTTTTTTTTACCTGTAATCAAAGGAATGAAAAGTTCCATGTACATGTGGAGACTGATAGAGATATGAACTATTTCCTTGCCCGTGAATGTATATGCAGAGTTCACAGCAGGGGTGTCCTCAGGAAGATTAAAAAATTGACATGTCCCCAAGGTTCTTTTTCAGGAGGCAACTGGACTTTGTTGTTATTTTTTTGAAGATGTTTTGCTTCTCACCTGAGAAGTTTCTTTAGCTCTTGCTGGATGGTGGGGAATGGAAGGATTTATATTTCTTGTAGATAACTGGTCATTTGAATTCTTTTAGAGAGTCATTAAGGCCACTTGGAGTTTATTTGTGTCATCTGGGTCACAGTGCAAATGGATGTGAGCCTTCTGTGTTACAAAGGTAACATAGATACAGCATTTGGATTGGTGAAACTCCCCAACCAATCCTTAAGAATCGTGGTGATGTTAGTAAGGTGACTTTCCAACTCAGGACAGGGAGTGAGATCATGCAAAGAGGCCTCTTTATTAGACACAGCGTGCGCCATCTACAGGATCTTTTTTGTTACTACAATTAAGGCCACTTGGAGTGTATTTGTGTCGTCAGGATGACAGTGCAAATGGATGTGGGGCCTTCTTGGCTTTAGGATGTTTTCTGCCCTGTGACCCTTCACTGGTGAAGACAGGCACAGGCTTTTGGGGATGAGTCTGTGTTGCCTGCATCTCAAATTGAAGCACAAATGATTACTATAGTCTGCAATTTTTCTGGAAATCCGTTCATACTCCTGCACCATGCAAAGGGTGTTCATCTCAAAGTACATGGCTAAATGTCTATGAAACTTCTTGGATAAGAAGCAAAACATCTTCAAAGAAAAACAAGTAAATCCAGTTGCCTCCTTAAGAAGGCACCTTTGGGACCACCATGATCTGAATGACTGAGAATTTCTAAAAACATTTTAAAAATTGACAGTTGCAACAGCACCATTAAAGTTCCCATCCCTCTTATGTTATAGGCATCACATACACGATACCTGTAAAAAACAAAACAACACAGGACTTCAGTCATGGTCGTGACCATCCTCTCATCTTTTTAGGATACCCCAGACACAATTGATTCAGAGTATGTTTATTTCTACCATGGATCTCAGTACTTATTGCCATCCATTTTTGAAAAGGATGGTTCAATCTACCTATATTATGTTGAAATTATATTGATTGAATTAGAGAGCTCATAAAAACAATGTCAATTAACTTATTTAATATAAACTGTCTATTATATTTTACAGTTTTGATGAAATGGCCAGATATGACCTCCCAGCCATGATTTCTTTTATTGTGAAAAAAACGAGAAATTCCAAGATACATTTAGTGGGCTACTCTCAAGGTGCCACTCAAGGTATATTATAGAAACCACTACTACACAAACTGTATAGTATGTATCCATGGCTTCCATATGGCAAAAGACAGAGATGGCAGAGATAGAGATTTTATAAAATTAGAATGACATTAATATATGTTTATTTCACACATGCTTTTAGATATATTCCACAGAAAAACCAGGGTAGAAAAAGTTAATTTCTTTAAAACAGGATAAAGGCTTAACCAAGACTTCTGATTTGGATTTTTAAATAATCTGCTTATTAGTCTTCAGGAAGTCTCTTAAAAATGCTTAATGTTCTTTCAATGCAACTTTCAGAAATTAAGTAATATCATGCTACTAAAAACTAAATAAAGTTTAGTGAAATAAAGAAGTTGGTTATTGCAGAATAGTTCAGTGGATAGCAATATATTGCCCAGGTGAGCTACAACTTCCTCAAGTAGCATTAGCAGAACTCTATAACCAAATCATTTCAAAGTGGCCCAAACCTCATGAGATCACTCAGCTCAGGCCCTGAAAACAGCTGTCTCTCCACCTGAGCATGAGTAGATAGATGGGCCCTGCTCTGCGTCTGGCTCCGAGACCTCCTGCTCCTCAGAGCCTTCCGCCGGCCCCGATGGTAACCCAGTCACTCCCTCCATCTCCTCTGACTCATCTGACTCAACTGCCATCTCCACTGGTAGTTGACGAACCACAACACTTAAGTATTTTTAATTTGAAAATCTTGCATATGAATATTAGTTTGGATAAGAATCTATTCCCCGCTCCCCAAAAAAATCTATCCTGGTTCTTTTACTTCTATTGATTTTGCTTAGAGTTTCACCTAAAATATGGACTCTAGAAAAATATGGTTTTTTTAGGCTAATATTTTGGGCCTGTATTCTCAGGTTTGATTGCACTTTCATCTGTGCCATATGTGGCTGAAAAGATAAAAATGTTCCATGCCTTGTCTCCAGCAACCATAGTAAAGAATTCTCAAACTCCAATAATCAAATTACTATTCCTGCCAGATGCTGTATTAAAGGTATTTGACATATAATGTGATGGTAGTAGCAAAGATGAAGAGTTCAATTATTTAATTTTGTTCCCCTATAACACATAGATTCAACTTTGAGCACATAACGTTTTGATTTTTGCCTTAATATCTGTTGTATGAGGAATCCCTGCTACATAAAATGGTTCCTATGATATGGGACCATTTATGATCCAATCTTTCTTCTAGATATAGTAAGCTTACTAGCCAAAAACTAAAATGTGGAGATGCATTTTAATTCACTCTGCTGTGCTTCTGCTGATCTGAACTTTCTTGAAATACAATATTGACATAGATGAGCTAGTATTAAGAGTTACTAACATAGTTAGCTACTAACATTAGAATGGCGACATATTTTTTAAGTTCACACCTGAATACTAAAAAAATATTGGAGAAAGAGCTATAAAATGCTTTATGTGAGGGAACCTTACCTGCAAAAATGCCAGAGGCTTAAAATGCTTCTCTTTCAAGATGCACCTAAAGTCTCAAGGCTGGGGGACCAAATTTAGCAGATGTATAGAAATGAGAAACTGACAAAAACCAACACAATAATACCCACAAATAAATCATAGATACAAATAACTTTTGGCAGCCTATGCTCATATTGAAAGTGGATAGCTATTTGTTATCCATGTTGCAAGTAGCTCTTACTCAAGTAGGCTGGAAATCTGATTTGTTTATTTGGCCTAGATGGTGTTCTTCCTCCTCCTCTGAATTATCTGGTATTATGTGGTAAATCAGGTTGGCAGAATTATTCTGCTAATAAGATCATTACAACATCAGCCTTCCTGGAAGAGGAAGCTGGCAGCTCTTGTCTCTCAAACTGTGAATAAGTCCTCTCACTTGTCCTGTGGATGAGAAAAACAAGGCCAATGAGCAGTGAAGAGCTGTGATGAAGAATGGGCAGACCTTAAGTGGCCCAGAAAAGCCTTTGGCAGCAGCAGGTCAGCCTTATAAGATTGTCCAGACAGGAAATGCAACCAGATGGACTAACTCTACTTTATTTTAAGGTTAAATTAACAGAATCTTAAACGTTTGAAAGTACATTTTTCTCCCATCATCTTTACCAAAAATTAGATAAATTTAACTTCCGAGATGCTTGCCATGCCCAGATTCCTTTTGTGAGACCAGCAGCTGCCTCTTATCTGTTCCCCTGGATGTGGCTCTTCCCTCATCTCCCATGGTCCTTCCCAGGTACCACTGCACAGAAGGTCGACAGCCACTTCAGTCTGGGGCTGACTGTGTTGAACATATGTCCATCAGAAACAGCTCCCTTTCAGGAAAATGAAAGGGAAATGCACTTTTGGAAGATGCATTTCAAGTTCTCCAGGTGAAATCCTGAGAGATTAAGGTGCATTCACTTTCTTTCTAAATAAGTAATTACAGTTATTTGCATGGTTAGAGTGAAACCAGGCATTCTCACATCCAGCTATTCCAAGCTATTTGCTTTGAAACAAAATCATCATGCTCCCATCCTAGGAGAAGCCAAACTCTAGAACACTGATCCATATTTATGTAATTACATATAATATTAATATATTTACAGGGTTTATTGGGCAGAAGGGATTTCTTCCTGAGAAATGAGATTTCAAGAGAAATTGTCATCCGCACATGCAGCTCCATAATTTACAACAAACTCTGCTCCCGAATTATTTCATTTTTTGGAGGTTATAATGAGAAGAATCTAAATTTGGTATGTATCAAGAAAAATGTATTTTAGCTGTCTGAAATTTCTTCTGAACACCTCACAGAGATTAAAAAACTGTTTCCATGAACTTCCATGTCTTAAATAATGGGAACTGCTTAATTAACAGGCAGCATAAACTTCATCACAGCTTTAGCAATTGTGCATATTTATAGTGAATATATGGTTCCTTCTAGTTTTCTCCCTGCACAATTCATATAGGAGGAAGGAAGGAGGCTTTGCCATAAAATAAACTGAGCTGAACTAAACCAGACTAAATAAAGGAAACTGCAGCTCAGGAGGAAAAAACTATCCCATGGTGGGCGCAGTGGTTAGAATGCAATACTGTAGAGTTAACTCATTGCTCACTCCAGGAGTTCGATTCTGAGAGGCTCAAGGTTGACTCAGCCTTCCATCCTTCCAAGGTTGATAAAATGAGGACCCAGATTGTTGGGGGCAATAGGCTTACTCTGTAAAGCAATTAGAGAGGGCTGTAAAGCACTGTGAAGTGGTCTATAAGTCTAAGCGCTATTGCTAAGTGCTATTAAGAAAATTGGAAAGTTACTTCAATGATCAAAATATCTGTTGCAGAGCCGCATGGATGTTTACATGTCATACTTTCCAGATTCAACATCCGTTCAAAATATACTTCACTGGGGACAGGTAAAGTATCTGAAAATCCAATATTGTTTTTCAGGATTTCATATGATTATAAAAAGGAGCCGCAATGGCACAGTGGTTAGAATACTGTACGGCGGGCTACTTCTGCTGACTACCGACTGCCTTCGATTTGGCACTTCGAATCTCACCAGGCTCAAGGTTGACTCAGCCTTCCATCCTTCTGAGGATGATAAAATGAGGACCAAGATTATTGGGGGACAATATGACTCTGTAAACCATTTAGAGAGGGCTATAAAGCACTGGGAAGCAGCATAAAAGTCTAAGAGTTATTGCTATTAAACTTTACAGGAACAGTACAGGCCTGAATTGAGGGAAGGAGAAACCAGTTTGTTTTGTGAGGTGCCAGGAGGTACTAGGGTGTATACTGAGTGTTCATCAGGTCCCAAGAACCAAGAATGACCCATGGAGTTACTGAATGACACATGGAGTTACTGAAGAGTAGTTTCCTTTATTGTTCTTCACCTACAGCAGAGGTGTCAATCTGTCACCACTGCATCACGTGATGTATCAGGACTTTTTCCCCCTTCACTAAACCAGGTGTGGGTGTGGCTAGCATGTGATCTGACTCATGGGCTGGGAGTTTGACAGCCATGACCTACAGGCAGAATCTTGCCAGACTAAAGCAACTATTTGCATAACTACATATATACTCTGGAAACAGCTAGAGAAAAGCCATTTTAATCTTCTTACTGCTGACCAAACTTTCCAAGATCTGCTATCTCTTCACCTCTGGAAAGTAGCTCTCCCACCTGGGAATCCAGACTACATACCACCATAGTTTTACAATGATAGAGAGAAGATGGTACAGTGCACAATATGCCTTGATTCCTTGATGGGCTGGGATTATTGTTGTGCGTTGCATTACGACCATTACCATTCATTATTGGTGTCACTTGTAACAGAAAGTTCTAATGATCTTGGGTCTGCCTAAAGTCTTTGCTCAGTGTTTAAAGCTATACTTTCAGTGTTTAGTATAATAAAACACCAGAATTTGGAATCATTTAGAAATCACTTCTCCCTCTTTCCCTCCTTCCCTCCTTCCTTCCCTCCTTCCTTTTCTTTCTATCTATCTATCTATCTATCTATCTATCTATCTATCTATCTATCTATCTATCTATCTATCTATCTATCATCTCCCTCTCTTTTTCTCTCTCCCTCTCCCTCTAACCCTCCTCTCCCCCTCTCCCTCTCCCCCTTCTTCCCTCCCCTCCCCTCTCTAAAATCTAGATCTACAAAACAGGACAATTTAGAGCTTTTGATTATGGGGATGGAAATAAGGAGAGATACAATCAGGTAAGATTTATGCACTACTTAAAGTTCACTTCTCTTCAGCAAGTACACAAGGTGCCCATAAATGACTGTATTGTTCTTGACTAGCTGCAACTGCTTTTGTGCATATTACCAAGGGAAAAAAATGAGGGCAACTCATGTACAAGATAATATACCGGGTTCAATGCATAACTATTAAAACCCAACAATCATTGGGGAGCCAAGCATTCACAACCAAATTTGTTTCCCTTTTTTGCTTAAAAACATCTCAAGCTGCTTTCAACCTAATGAACTTCAGGCAGGTGTGTTATTTGAACAAGTAAAAGTCTTGCTCTTCTATAACACATTTATATGATACCCCTTAACATTTATTTATATATGAATTTTATTCATCTAATTTGGTTGCCACCCAACTCTAATTGATTCTAGCAGCTCACACAGTATAATAACAAAATAACAAAAATGAAGTCAGAATGGAACACAAGCCAATAAACAGAATGGTGTTTCCAGTCAATAATACCAAGCATATCATACATCCAACAAGGGACACTAATCATCTTAGCCCAATGTTTGGAAGAAGGACAGGTCTTTAAGGCCCTCTGGGAGATCACTAAAATGACTATTGTTTCATAGTGATTTTATCAGGACACCTCACTCACTGTGCAAAGATTTCTATCACTGAAAATATTTGTTCTAACTAAATTACCGTGATCAAATATTAAAATATTCACCTCATCTTTTACCTCCTTTAAAAATTCATTCTAATTTTTCAATAGGCAGTTTGTATTTAGTATGCCATTTCGTGTGGGAAAAAACTTCCTCAGTTGGTTTATTTTTGTCTTTTTAGGATGAGCCGCCATCTTACAATGTAGAACGCATTACAGTACCAATAAGTATATGGTATGGAGAGAATGACCTGTTAGTGACACCTGATGATGTCAAAGCATTAATTAACCAGCTCCGTAGTGTTGTCTACAAAGATAGCTTATCTGACTGGAATCACGTTGATTTTGTTTGGGGCCTTGATGCTTCTAAGAGAGTTTACAGTCCTCTTATTAAATTGATATCCTTACATACATGATGTTGTAAATCTGCATAAATTAAAAAAGTACTTTTCCTTTAGGTTTGTAAGAAATTAGTGATATATAAATATAATTGTTATTGCTGCTAGTAATCACAAAAGGGATTTTGAAAATCATGGGAGATTGCTTACTTAATGTTGCTTTCAATCATATTTTGTTATGAGTCTGTGCTTATATCCCAAGCTGGCCAAATACTCACGCTCTAAAAGAGTCAAAGTCTGAAAAACATCTGTACAATACATGGGAACCTTGGGGTTACAGTAGTTAACTGTACTGCTTTTAATCATAATGCAAAGATATTTTGCTACTTGATGGTCTCATAAAGAAGCTAAGAAGAATTAATTTTTGGATCTTATTTCATTACTCCATGTGACACAGTCCTATTTGAATGTAGTAGATTAGTCTAGAGAAAGCAGAGTTCTGTCATCCAACAATTTCTTGCCATTTCTCACCCTATTGCAGGGAGGTCAAACTCAAGGCCTGGGAGCCGGAGCAGGCCCTCGGGGTACTTGGGTCTAGCCTATGGGGCTGTCCTAGAAACAGCAAAGGATCAGCCCGCGGTGCTTCTGCTAGTAAGAATGGCCTCCCAAATTCCATTTGGGCTGCCACAGTCTCCTGCAAACCTCTGCCAGTGAAAACGGAGCTTAGGAGGGCCCTCCCAAGCTCCATCTTCACTGGCAGGGTCTTGCAGGAGGCTGTGGCAATTGAAAACGGAGCTCGAGAGCCCGTTTTTGCTGGCAAAGTTCTCAGGCCACCACAGGCACAGCTGACACAAGTGATGTCAAGCTGGCCACGCCCACCCTGGTCAAACCCACCGCACCCCCCCCAAGTCAAACACAACCCTGATGCGGCCCTCAATGACATCGAATTTGACACCACTGCCCTATTGCCTATTGATGGGACTACTTTCTTCAACAGGAGGATTGTTACTAGATGAAAGAAAGTTACTCTGATTTTTGAACTCCAGCTTTATTGTGAGTTGGCTAAAGGATAGCAGAGAGCAGGCAGTTGGCTTTAATAAAATAGTTGTCCTTTTGCTTTTGAAGTATGTTTTTCATCTGAACCTTTGTATGGTAGAAACCACATTGGTGTAAATTTAGTACGTCACTTAAGCACTTAATAACATGACCTGCATCACGTTTTGCAATTACAGTAGGATGTGATAAATATCTCAGTCCTCTCTGTGTATCAGCATTTGCGTGCTATCACATGGAGGACATCAGAATTCATGTGCTATTACTTCTGATGCAGACAAAAGTATTATTCCTCTTCATGGAGAGGCAAAGCAATATTTTTTAAAAGAAAGGCATGGCAATAATAGCAAAAGAACCAAGAGACACATTGTGGAATTAGGATATTCTTTTCAAGATGTATGACTCAATGATAGGTCTATTATAGAATCTGAAGTACTTCTGACGTTCTTGCTCTTTAGAGAAAAGAAGGGAATTTTTTTATCCCATCCTTTTAAGTGCAGTCTGATTAATAAACCAAGGAAACACTGGAGTGTTTCAAAAATTCTTTCTCTTTCACCAAGGTAATCCCATTCCAAGCTTCAATAAAGGGCTTGTTCTATGCTTTTTTGATCTTTAGAAAATCAAAGAATTGGTCTCTGGGCTTTGAGGAAAGCATGTAATAGAGAAATTAATGTCAAGTAATGTTCTGTTCCTGTGTCACAAAGTTATCTTCCTACTGAGTCTCAAAAATAAATTATCTCTTTGCTTATCTATGGGTCATGCGGACAAAGCCATAATTTTTGCAGAATCTATCCTGTGCTTTAATAGCAAAGTGTTATCTATGTTCAGAACTCTGTGTCCATATAAAGTCTTCACTCATGCTAAACTCCTGATAGACTGTTGGTAGCAGTATGGAAGCAGTTTCTTTCTTTCTTCCAGGATGATTTTAACCCTATCAGTCTAGCCTATAGTTCTATAACTTCTGTTCATCCCCATCAAGTGACAATCAGATCGGATAGTTTTTAACTTTTCTGGAATTGAAGTCAGACAAGGGTTGTCACTTGCCAAAGTTCTTGAATTTAGACATGCTTATACTAGTCAGCAATACAATGGATATGAAGATAAGGATATGTTTATTTATTTATCTGTCTAGATATACACACAAAGCTTGTGAATATATATCTTGTACATTAAGGGGCAAGCAGGAAAAAGAATGAAAAGAGAAAGAGTTCACACAGAATCTTAGCCAAAGGTGAGAGCAATTTATTGTATAAACAATGTGCTAAATACCTCAACAACTATGTGGACCAAAATGGAATTAAATAATTATGGTGAGAGGAAGAATTGGAAAATAATAGAAGAAAATGATCTCTACCATACTGTGTTTTAAATAGGACAGAACTATTAAATTGAGAGATGAAACTGATCAGAAGAGACATTCTAAATTAGACAGCCCAAGTTCAACATCATAATAAAATCCCAAAATCTTTCTTTCTTGCCCGTGAAAGAAAAATGTATTGACTAGTGTGTTAAAAATACAACACATAGTTTAAAATTATGTACTGTGGAAAACTTTCTGTGAGAAAACAATGTATTTTGCCTGTGAATGTTGTTTACATACACAGGTGGCTAAACAAGCGGCTGTTGAATTCCTGTGATCCTGTGATAGATGTGATGT